AACGACCATTCAAATATTTTGTGGTAGAGTTTAAAATATTCATTGCATGTTCTTCGCTTTTTGACGCAACCGGTTTCACCTCAAGCTTGACTCCGCAGGTTTCGACCTCAAAATAGTTACGCATAATTTGTTCAACTTCTTGTTCATGGACACTGCTTGTAATAATTTTTGTTTGAAATATTCTTTTCGTCGTACTTGCAGTTTCTCCGACAGGACCGTAAATTATCCAACCCAACCTCGTTCTTACAGCAATAGGGCCAGGGTTGCAAGATGTCCGTGGTATATCTAAAGGAGTAGTTAAATATGCATGTGAAAGACTTATTATCATTTTCGGATGTACATTTTTATATTTGTAAGTCGGTACTCCATTCAGATGTGAATATTTCTGAAGTGTGGTTTCTTTTAAAGAACTTTGTATCGGCAAAGCTAACTTTTTCGATAAAAATACTTTAGACATCAAATACCGTTGGCTTTCAGCTTCAGTGCCACTTATGGTTAATTGCACAATTTCTGTCGACTCATGTGACGAGACCCCGTTCAACCACTGCAGCTGTAACGAGTCTTTGCAGCCCTTAAGACCAAGTTCATGTGCTATATTCCAATCCAACATAGTAGCATCCGCTCCGTCGTCGACCATAGCATAAATTGAGACTTCTTTGTTGTCATGGTAGAGCTTGACTGGGATGATTTGAAAGAGTACTCCATCGTTTTTTGTATCAGCATGACAATTTCTACGGTCGATCAAACTCGCAACTGTTGTCTCCGCTGATTGCTGCAAGTTCGACTGACCATTATGGCGGGTTTCGTTAGGATGTAGTAGACGATTATGTAAACGCGCGAAATTGTTTATCCCACAACGTCTTTTGACATAACATTTCGACATTGGATGATTTGGCTTAAGGCATGAAAAGCAAATTCGTAGTTCTTTCACTTTTTTCCATCGGTCATCGACGCCCATACTAATAAACTGTGGGCACGCGTTAAGTGCTGCGCATTCACCCTGACAAAAACTACACTTGCTTTGAGCAACGCTTAAAAAAGAATACTTATTAGCTTTCGGTGGATGAGGATGTGGCGCAACGTCTTGAGTACGGCGGCTACCAGCAGCCGTCGCAGAAGGTAAACTGTCGGTTACCATATTCGCAAGTTTTCGCAAAGCGTTCAACCACTTACTGAAGTCTTCTACATTCGGGCATCGCTCCAACGAAAGACATTTCTCCGCCCACTGCATTTGCTTAGAGGTAGGCAGCTTTGTTACTAACTCGCTCAATAAAGACGGATTGGCTAGATGGTGATCTCCTTGCACGGATTTCAAAAATGTCGACATATTATTGACTTTAATCGCGAAATTTATTAACGGTTCGAGCTTTCCTTCCGGCACGTTAGAAATTAACCTAACCTTTTCAATTTGGCTTTTCATTAGCAACTCCGGCCGTCCGTAAGTTTCCGACAGAACTTCAATTATAGCGCTTACATTTTTCGAGGATGTTAGTAACGACTCCACTGTATCTCTAGCTCGTCCATGCAATGCTTCTCTAATCCGCATTATGTTATGTATATCGCTGTACTCCAATTCGACGGTGGTGCTTCTGAAATCTTCAATAAATGCTTGCCATTCTTCTGGCTGACCTCCGAATTTCGGTAAGGGATAGATTTTTTTTGCTTTGGCTGGTGGGCAGCTGTGGGGGTTAGAGGAAAGGTTAGAAAAAGACTCACCAGGTGTAGCATCAGGATGTGCTTGGGCGTTCGCGCCATTTGGTTGCGCGGGACTTGCTTGACGTTGAGCATTTGTGTCGTTTGGGGGCATAAGGTTTGTGGAAGACTCATTATTTCCGTTGGTAGCAACCGTTCTGGCGATGGCCTGAACTTCGTTGCGCAGGGCGTTAACGCTGGACTTATTTTGCTCATTCTGGCTGACGATTAGATTTTGCAGAGCAGCTATTTGTCTCTGGAATTCCCTTTGCATTTCCTTCAAATACCTAGCAGAGTCAGACTGCCGTGGCAAATTTTCAGTTTGACTCCTTCCAGTAGGGGGTTGAGGCTGCTTAGGGGCATTTGCTGCCTGCGGCGAATCTGGCATTGCGTACCGTTGCGGCGGGATTCCCTTGTTCTCTCGCGTGCTCCTTCGCGTTTCTGGCATAAACCGAGAATAAAGGCACATACAAATTTACTTCTGCCGGTATATGCAAAAATTTTAGGCAATTCGACTCCAAAAAATCACAGGCGATGCGACGAGAGAAACCAGATCCAAAAAACGGTGACGAGCAAAAGGGCAAACTGCTGCAAACGAAGCGAAGAATATAGTTGTCCGCTCGCATAAATAGCTTAAAGAATGAAACGCAAACTTCACAATAGAAGACGTGGCATGGTTTATTCTCTGTAAATATGTAGAGTTACAATAGCAAATAAATAATTATATTACAGTCAAATTACTCGCTTTCGGCTTTCTTCTATGCCGCGGACAGAACAATATTAACTTCTGACAAACGGAAGAGGCAATTTATATTCAATTTCGTAGATAGAATTTACTGTTAATAGCCGGCAAGAAATACGGAACAGAAAAACTAATAATAACTAATACATGAGTTAGGGATAACAAAAAACACAGAACAAAGAGTGATCGATATCGATTATTCAGGGTTGCCGTCATCAACAACAATTCAAATAATTCCAGTACTCCGTCAACAAATAATTCGACCACTAAACCGACCCCTACTAACCTTTATTCAAATGAAACACCTTTTGCTACCACTTCTACCAGCAATATTCCGCATCAACAAACTCCGATGCCGACCACTCAGCAGAGCCATGCAGCAGATCTAACTTCAATGTCCCCAATATCCCTTTTTACACAAAATCTCCTAAAAAATAATAAATATTTCATTAAACAGGATAATACTGAAATTTTCAAAAGCAATATACCTGACATATAAAACAACTATATTTCAAGACTAATTATTTCTCGCTTCTGTAAACTTAAGTTTACAAAAAGTAGGGAACTTTTCCAGTATTTACGCCATGAACCTAAATATACTACAGTGGAATATGAAAGGTTTCTTTAACAATTTCACAGAACTGCAGATGCTTATAAAGCAACACAACCCGAGCATTATTGCACTTCAAGAAACCCATTGTTGTCACAGACACACCCCATCTCTACCAAATAATTATTCCAAATATTTTACAAATGCCGCAGCAAACACAACATCAAAACAAGGTGTTGGTTTATTAATTAAAAACCACATCCCTCATAAACAAGTTGACATAAACTCCCCGCTACAAGTAGTTCTGATTGAGGTCGAACTTAGCATTAAATTTACACTAGCGTCTATTTATATCCCACCTTCCCAAAGATTTTGCAGCATCGATCTAACCGATATTTTTGATTCAGTTAACACCCCATTAATAGTACTAGGCGACTTTAACGGGTGGAGTAACATATGGGGCTCCAACTCCACCAATCACAGGGGACTCACTATCGAAAATGCTATAAGACTGTCTGATCTATGCGTTCTGCACGATGGTAGCCCGACTCACTTCTCAACTCACTCTTCTTTTACCCACGTTGATATCTCCTTTTGCTCACCACCTCTATTCCCACTTATAAAATGGCAAATACTTAACGATCTTCACAATAGCGACCACTTTCCGATTATTTTAAAATTCTCATTGAACACCAACATTTCCCACCGTACCAAGGCCCCACCTAAGTTCCTCTTAGATCATGCCGACTGGATTAACTATGCAAAGCAAGTCGACCTCGAAATGGAAGCTCATCCCCTATCAAACTCCCCAAATCAAGAAGCAGCTAATGTTGCCAAAGCGATCCGAGCAGCAGCAAACCGTTGCATTCCACAGGTAGCATACCGTCCAGAAACCCATGTTCCCTGGTGGAATAAAATGCTTTCAAATCTCCGAAGGGAAAAAATGCAAGCTTGGTATAATTTCAAAAGTAACCCAACGCCATTAAATCTTATTAATTTCAAAAGGCGCAATGCTATCTTCCGTAAAGAAATGAAAGCTCAAAAAAGGCTTAGCTTCCAGAAGTTTACGGAATCTGTCTCCCCCAACTCCTCTGTTTCCGATATATGGAGCAGAATCAACAGACTTTGCAATAGAAATCCATACAAACCCCTTCGGACCCATCAGTAATTTCAAATCATTTTGCCTCAGTGTGGTCAAACCTCTCTGATGATACCAATTTCCCCAATCAGTTTAGAAGTGAAAAATTGTATGCCCTAAATCATCTAACACCTCTTGGCGAAATACACCCGAAAGCAAAGCTCATCGAAAAAGTAATCACTGCGACAGAATTATCGATGTGCTTCGCAATAGCGAAAGGAAAAACTCCTGGCTTCGACCGCATTTCTTACAAGATGTTAAAAGAAATGTCCCATTTTGGAAAATCTCGATTGCTATGCCTCTATAACACTATATTTGATACCGGTATCATCATATATGTAATACTTCTATATTGGCAGTAAGCTATCTTCTCAATGTGTAAGCATTCCGAAATCAAAGCGAGACAGTCTAGTACGGTTTTTGTCAGTGTATTGTGTACTTGAGTGCCGTTTTTGTATATGTGTTGTGTACATGTTTATTTAGAAACGTATGCGTTCCTTTTCTTTCGTACGTGTTTATTGATATATCTGTACTGTAGTGTTTTCGGACGGTACTAGCTCTTACTGCCAATATAGGAGTATTACATATATGGGTATCATACCACAAAACTGGAAAGTCGACACTGTAGTTCCTATCCCTAAGGCAAATAAAAATCCCCTTTCAACTGACGGATACCGTCCTATTTCTCTTCTGTCTTGCTTATCAAAAGTGTTAGAACGGATAATAGCAAATCGTATTGCATGGCTCACTGAGTCGCAGTTACTCATCAACTCTAACCAAGTAGCCTTCAGACCTAACAGAGGCTGTACAGACGCCCTCCTTCACATAGACTTCTATGTGACAAAAGCTCTCTCAACCCGCAATCACGTCTCCATGCTATCACTAGATTTTGAAAAATCATTTGACCGGATAGGACTCCTTGTCATCTTAAACCGCCTTCGTTCGTGGGGAATTGGTCCCAAAATGTTCTCTTTTGTCAAGTCCTTCCTACAAAATAGAAAATTCCGCGTCAGAATACAAAACGTATTCTCCGAGACGTATACCCTAAATAATGGCGTACCGCAAGGTTCCCCATTATCGGTAGTGCTCTTCAGCATCGCCTTCAACGAAATAAGCAACATAATAAAATCAAATAACTATGTGGATCATTGTATTTATGCAGATGATGTTTACATACTCTGTAGAAGGAATAAAAATACAGAAAACAATTTAATTTTTAAGAACATTATAAAAGATATTCTGGATTGGACCAAATATTCCGGAGCTAAAATATCTCTAGAAAAAAGTAAAAATTTCCACATTTGTAGGAAACACTCGTGTGATTCTTACAACCATAATTTAGCTGTAAATAATGTTCAAATAGAGAATGTAAAAAAACTTAAAATCTTAGGTATTATATTTTCCAATAATTACCGCTGGACGGACCAATGTTTGAATATCAAAAGAGCATTAGCTGCCAGAATAAACCTTATTACGTATCTCGCAAGTAAAAAATGCCATGTACATACTGTAATATAGCATAGCACACTTTTATGTGACGTGCCCTTTAGCACACTTATGTGTACTTATGTGTCTTGACCTTAAGTACGTATAATATTGCGCTGCCTCTCGAACGCTCCATTGTTAATAAACCCAACACTAGAATTATCCATATACATATGAATAAACCACCACTACATTTTCTACCACTAAGCAACGTGCTCAAGTAATTTCTTTTCCTCCGGCTGTTAATAAGTATATATATTGTAAGTACAATATATGTGTACTATTTGAAGTGGATATTCGTAAGTACGAATATACTACAAACTGGCGACGAGTCAAAAGAAAAAAATACAATAATTCAACATGGAAGAATTAATGAAATTGATGATGGTGGTACCACAATTTGAGCCCAGCATCGAGACATGGGCAATATGGCGCGAAAAACTAGACATTCACTTAGCTGAAATAAAATGTGAAGAAGAGGAAGAAAAGAAGAATGTGTTGCTGAAGACGGTGGGTACGGCCGCATATAGTACACTACACAGTTTATGTAGTCCGAAAACTCCTCGACAAAAACTTTTAAAGAATTGTGCCTAATTTTAGAGACACATTATACGCCCCCAGTAATTGTGTTCCAAGAACGAAAAAAGTTTCATCTATCCAAACAATTAGATAGCGAAACAGCGGCAGAGTGGTACACTCGTGTAAAAAAGCTTGCGTTAACCTGCAAATTTAAAATTTGAAAATTAAAATGCATTCATTTTAAATCAATTTATCGTTGGGGCAAAGACCAAAATATACGAAAAATTGTGTGAAGAAGCTGAAACTATTACTTGTGAAGAGGCTTTAAGAAAAGCAATGGTTCTGGAGTGCAAAATGGCGGCAAAGGCCGAAAATAAAAATGAGGTTAGCGTGAATTTCATGAAAAAGAAGAAAAATTTCAACAAAGATGCGAGTCAATCTAACAAAAACGAGCGAAAAACGAGTAGTCATTGCGGTTGGCGTAACCATGAGTCCGAAAAATGCAAATTCAAGAAAAGCAAATGCAATTCATGCGGTAAAATTGGACATCTTGCTTCTGTATGCCGGATGAAAGTACAATTAAATTACGTATCTAATAGTAGTAAGGTTGAAGATGATTGCAAAGATGATATTTTTAATTATTATATTTTTAGTGTAAATGATCAAAAGCCGAATGAGGTGTATTCTCTTTCTGTGTCGTTTGATGGTATTGAGGTTAGAGCAGCCTGCGATACAGGTGCACCGTGTACGCTGATATCAGAGAAATTTTTCAAACAACATTTTAACAAAACTATTCTTAAGTGTAACACAACCTATCTTGATTATAGTGGTGATCGCATACAAATTGTTGGTGAGTACAATGCACAGATTATGTACTTGGGTATTAAGAAAGAGATTACTGTAGTTGTGACCAAACATGATAACCCACCTCTGTTAGGTAGATCATTTTTACGC